GTTTCAAGGGCAAGCAAGATAGCATAATTGTTTTGTTATCTTGTTTGGGATTAAAAACATAGCCAGAGCGTTAACAACGACTATGTACTCCTTAATGATGGAAGCCCAAATTTAGGAGTAAGGAGAGTAAGTTAACAGGATTTGGCTCTAGCGTAATTTAGAGCTTGAATTCGATAAAAGATTAAATATATCTAGAAGAGTTTGTAAAAGAGGTTAGAGGTCATTCTGAATACATTATGGTAATTTTGTCCTAGGACCCTTCTTTTATCCCTACTTAATAGATTTTTTTTGGGACTTCAAAAGATATACTAAATTAAAAAAGTAGAATAATAAAGTAAAACAGAATAGAGTTGTGTTGTATATATCAAAGAATAAAAGACTATGAATGTGCAAAATAATCAAATATATGATACATGGTATAGTTTAAAGAAGGCAATGATAAAAGGTGTTGTAAAAATTGAGGAAAAGATTAATAAGGTGTAAAGCATAAAGCAAAGAGATAATAAATCTATATTGATATATACTTACCATTATGAGACACTTGTGGCTTTAGTAAAAAGAATAATCAAGGATTATAAAGAGATATTTTAGTATATATTTGGGTTGCAATATCAATGAAGAGTTGAGATGATGTGTCTGATGACATATGAAGAAGCAAAAAATTTCATATTGATGGTTGAAGCTAAAAATAATCAAAGATTAGCTAAGATGAAAGTGATAATACAACAAATAATCTTGAGCAATGTTATCAAAATGAAAGTGAAGTTATAAATGATAAAGTTTAGTATAGTGACTATAATATGACCTATGATATAATGAATGCATATTTTGGTAATAATGAAAACCAGAAATGTGGAATAAATAAAACATGTCAAAACAAACCTGATAATATTGAGTATAGCAATAGTATAATTAACAAAGCAAAAAACTGTTAGTTAAATAATTTAGAATTTGAAATCGATTAGTTGCTGATTATGAAAAATAAAGAAAATTACAAAAATAAAGTCAAAAAGAAAATAAACAGTGCTAATAATATAAATAGAGTTAGTAAACACAATTATAAAAATATTGAAGCTAAAATAAATAATGAAATCAAAATAGCCAAGCCCAGAGAGTTAATTGATGCAACTTGGAAAAGCAAGATAGATAATAGTATTAGCATATTGATATTTTGGTTGAACTTTATAAGTATTATACTTAACTCATGCTTGAATCAAGTTGGCAGACAATCAAATAAAGTAAACAAAGATGTAAAAATTATTGAAAGTAGTACCAAAACCTTAGATATTGGTAATATACTAAGTGAAGAACTTCTGCAAATCAAAAGTATAGATGACTCTATGATGAAACATCAAATAGATATAACAAATAAGAACTTTGATAATGTAGAATTGAAAGTGAAAATGTATGATAAAATTGATGAAATAGATTTCTGTAATATAATAGTGAAATTAGAATTGGTGTTTGTAGAGAAAATAATATTGTTTATTGCAATATTGATGTTTATTGTCATAATGAGACCTAATGTAAATAGTTATGCTGGTCTAGGTTGTGATCAAAAAGTGTGTGTAATTAATTGTCATTTAGTTGAAAATATTAATTATAGAGAATATATAATTAATAATATCGAGTTTAAGAGAAATTACAAACTAAATAGAGATAATAATAATTTTGAGGACGAAGTATATAGGGATCTATCTCCTGTCACAATAATAACCAAATCTCTGTATATTATATTCAAGAAATGTTAGATTTTGAAGACTAGGTATCTGATTGTGAATTCTGTTTAACTACCCCAACAACACCCCAAATTTTTCTGCAGTTATATGAATTTTTAGCCAATAGAAACATATTATAAATTTAATTATATATTACTAATTCTTTTAATGATTATTAAAATAACATTAATAATCAATATCAATATCAATATCAATATACTTTCTTTAATAATAGAAGATTTACGAATTTTTTTAAATAATAATGAATGTACAAGATGTTGAAAAATTGTCAGTCAAAACCAATTTCTTAATATTAATTCAAATAGCAATAATAATTATTTCAATACTTGTCTTTTATATTGTCAACAATCTTCGATTTCTTATAAATTATCTACTATACCTGATAAAAATTAGTTAATATCTTTAAAAGAAATAGCGTAATAGCTATATAATAAAATTATTGAAATAAGCACAAATGAATATATGGAAAATGAATTAAATGGAATTGATTTCAAGTGTGATATTTCTTTTGAAGATTTTGAGGATGATCCAAAAAAGATATCAAATAAAATAAAAAATACAATAGGTGAAAATAATAGATACTATTACATATAAATATATTTATTATAGATATAATTTTTATATTTATATTATCTTAATATAGTGTTTAATTTAAAGTTATCATAATAAAGCTATACAGATATATATAATTTAAAAAAAGCCTCACAATTATCTACTTTTCGTTATAGATGTTCTCAGTGTCAAAATCTTGCCAAAAAACCTAGAAAACATAAAAATGTTAAAAATCAAAGAGATCAATTATCAATACAACAATTTTATTGTAAGAGCACTATTAAAATTATAATTAATATAGAGGCCAGTTATGTATCAGTTCATCTTAAACATTCTATATTTCACAAACAGCCTGATAGATATAGAGTTAAACTTGAAATTCAAAAAAATTTGCATTTGAGTCCAAGTGAAATTTATAAACAATTAGAATAAGAGAATTTAGATTTAACACAGAAACAAGTACATGTGTAATGAACTATTTTTATTAGAAAAGAATATACTTGAGATGATAATAATCAATTAATTTCAGCAAATATCCTTTTAAAAGAACATAGATATAATGTAATTTTAATTAATAACAATATAGGAATTAAATTTTTAGGATTTATTACACCATTTTTTGAAATTATAAAAAAAATTGAGAGATTATTGTAGATGCAACCTACAAAACTAATGCATTAGGTTATGAACTTTATTCTGTAATTAGCCAATTTGATGGTTCTGGCTTACTTATTCGTTAAAGGAATAAATAAAAAGGATGATGCATATACAAAAATTCTAGCTTCTTTTTTTAAAGCATTAAAAGATTCAGGATTGGATCAAATTTATTTTTTCCTAACTAATAAGAATTTTTTACAAATATCTGTAGCTCAACAAATTTGGCCAAATATTAAAGTTCAAATTTGTTATTGGCATCTAAAAAAAGCAATTCAGAAATAATTAACTAATAATATATATCCAAAAACTATATCATATAGTTCTTACTTAGCTCATAACACATTTGATTTTATTAGTCTTGAGTTTTATCTAATACAATCAGAAGAGGATTGAAAAAAATTTACTTTTTGTCCAAGGATTTGCATATAATAGTTTTTAATTTGGTTGATCGGCATATGCATTTACATCTATTAATTCCAGATATTACAGAAAAGTTTTTAACTGAATATGAAATTTGAACAAATTCAGTAAAGGAAATATATAAATTTTGTACTAGTAATAATTTAAAACATCTTTGGATATATATATAAAACAATTAGTATTGTATTGAAATGTGGAAATTATGGACAAGATCAACAATTGCAAATAAAATTTGTATTTTTCATACAACAATGCTTGTGGAGTCACATTGGAAAGTAGTGAAATGAGATTTTTTGCCAAAGTTTTTTAAACCTTGACTTGATCTTGTAGTTTATGTTATTATTATACGTTTAATTTTACACTATAAACAACAATATAACAAGTATAGTAATAGTCGTGAAATAGCTTCTTGGCGAAAAAACTTTAAAAAAGAATAGATTTTATTGCAAAAAAAAACTATTAACAACCAATATATAATAGATATTAATAAGTGGGTTTGTTTTTGTTCAAGTTTTTTAACTAATTGTTTTTTTTATGTAAACATTTAGTGTAAAGTGTATTATTTGTAATTAATTCAGAATTTTTTAAACATATTCAATGGCAAAAAATCTGCTCATTTTTATTTATACCATCTCAACAATTTACACTTAATCAACAACATTCTTTAATATCTAATGACCAATATCAATTTAATAAATATTCTATTTTACGTAATAGTTTTTTTTTTTATTAAAAATTTTTTTTTTTTAGCAATCATGCTACATGCTCATGCTTTATGGATCATTAATTAAATCTGAAGAAAAAAGAATATATCTAAAAATACGGGTATGTAACTCACCCAGTTACTTATATAGAATACTTAAATATTTATGCATCTGCGTGTAACCTGCCAAAGATGATTTTAATCTCCCCGGTTTGGTTCAACCTACATCAAGCCAACTCGCCTGGTTCACCGACCTGGTTCATCAGCCCATCATGACCACCTTCTTTCCCAACCTTCTTCTCCTTGCCTTCTAAATAAATGAATTCTACCAAAGAACAATGGGAAATTTACGAAATAAAAGGAATAGTAAAAAGGGGGAAAATCTAAACTAAACGAAGACAAAAAACAAACAAAAAAGAAAAAGAGAGAAAAGGAGAAAAAGGCTGAAAAAAGGACAGCCATGATGGCACTATTTTTGCCTATACAAGGCTATATAAATTATATAATGTTGTATAGAATAAAATCTAATCTAATACTATATGTAATAAAAGAAGTGGAAAAGAAAATAAAAGAAAATGTCTAACATTAAGAAATTTTTACACATGATTCCTCTGATCCCCTATACTGTAAACAGTACCGCTATCATTGTTTATTTGGCAAAGCATAATCCAAATAAGCTCGTGGGAGGTTCTATTTTGGTAGACGCGTCCTAATTTAGAAGGAGTAAACACTGCCGATCTTTTGAAGAGGGTATGCCAGTTTTCCCACTTTTTAGCCAAAATTTCAAAAAAAATTCCAAAATAGCGAAAATATGGTAGAAGGTCTTTGGTTGCAAATACTTTCAAAACTTCTAAAAAGTGTGTTAAAATCCAAAACTTTTGTTGTTTCTCCTGTGTTCTTTTTTAAAGTAACGGCCTAGGGCTTCATTGACGAAGTAGCAGCCTACTATGTAACTTACTCCCTTCACCAAAATTTTTCATACAAGGGCACCTGGGTGCCAGTTATCTTGTATAATAATGCTCCTGGCTTGCATGCCGAACGTCCTTTAGAGAAGTCCCCCAATAGGAAAAGGTTGATCTCTAGACAAACCACACCATAGAGCCACGTCTCTCCAACAAAAGTTTTGTTTTTTGTTAGTTGAAATTTTGATACGAGTAATCGTCAGGGAGAGTTGATATCAATAATTTTGTTTATTAAAAATTTTCAACTACTAATTATTGTATTATTTATTTTAGAAAACATTATGAATGATATTACCAATTCAGTTAACAATATAAGTGATGAAGAACCTTGTCAGCTTTTTGAAGAGTATGAATCTATTTTACAAGACACTCTTGCTATTGTGCAAGAACAACATGCAGCAAGTAATACTTGGTGAGCACAGTCAGTTCATAAAAGCTTTGATGGAATTCGCACAATAGTAAATGATATTAAAAGTTATAGAAGAAGGAATACTAATCCATGAACTTGGAAAGATCACAATCGAAATACAATGTTTTTAGAAAAATAAAGTATCTGGTATGTATATTAGTTAAATGTAATTCTTGTCTTAAAGCACTTATTTATATTTTTTTTTATATGAAATTCCCGAAGCTACTTTAAAAAATACGTCTTGGTAGTTGCTATTAAAGAACTTTAATCTCTTTTTAATAACGATTGCATTGTTCAATATGCCATTTATGTTTTATTTATATAAAATAAAGTTAATGTCAAGCTATTTAAATGCAATAAATATAATCTGCGAAATCAAATTTACATTTTATTAAAGCTAAATTTACAGTATAACAATACATATCTTAAAAACACAAACCAATCAAATTGTTGTAAAATTCACATGGCTGCAGAAAAATTCAGGGTGTCATTGGGGTAGTTATTCAGTTCACAATATTATGTGTGTACATGGTGCCCGTGATGATCAGAGTAATAGATATTAATCAAGTAGATCAGTGATCTAATGCATGAAGTTTATTTGTAATCTGTAGTCATAAAAGCATAGTTTATTATAGTTGTACATAATCTAGCATTAGAAATGTAGTCATCAATTATGGTTTGATGAAACCTATTTGTAGTCAAATAACAATTTGATATCATTAGAGAAAAAAGTTTTCTCTTTTCAAAATAAAGAAGCTTTTTCATAACTTGACATAAAACTCTCTTAGTAAGAAACAGTAGACATAACCTGTAAAGGTGCATGTGTCTGGCAAACTGACCAGTGCAAAGTGAGTTCTTGATATTAGGGAAAACCAACCTAAAGCCCGTAGTTAAGAATCTCCGTGACACATATCATAATTCAAAAATAAACAATTAATTTTGCGAAATCCTATGTGTAATTTAAAATACTGTTGTGGATGCTAGTGATAAAGGTTTTAAGTTTGATCAAAAAGATTATGGGATCAACACTTTTTTCACTCGCATAATACAGTATTAAAGATTTTATATTTATTAGAATTTGAAATGTTATCTTAGAGTATTTAATTTTTAGTTTTACTAAAATTTTATCTTTTACTATAATTTTATGCTTCACAGGTCGCCAAAATACTCAAATTAAGCAACTATAGAACAAAAATAAAATCAAATAGAAATAACTATTTATATTATCATGTTAATTTACTAATTTGTAGCTAAATTTTTAAGTATAAATAATACAGCAAAAATGCAACTATACAAAATAATAAGATAATTTTATCAAATTAAAAAACAATTTGATATTAGGCTGGGCCCTCATGTACTACATTTGCAGAGCTTTCCATCTCTTCCATGCCTTGCTGAACCATATCCTTTACAAATTTTGAAATACATACTAAAATCAAAATAGTTACATATGAAAGAATCAAAAGCCAACTATATATAATAGAAATAATTAGATTTGCATATCCATATTCTGATATTGAAATTTCAAATTTATAAGCAGAGGAAGGATTATAAAGGTAGGAAGTTGTGTATTTAGAAGAGGGACTAGCAGCTGGGTAAAGATAAGAAGCGTAATACATAGTAGGATCTTGATATCGATAATTCATTAAGCTGTAAATTTTGAGAATAGCTAAAAACGTTATCAAAATTTTGTTAATACTAAATATAACTTATAAATTAAAATAATTATAGATAAAAAAATGAAATCAAAATTTTAATACCGTAAGGAATATACACTACTAAAAGAAAGCTAGACAAAAAATATCAATTTAATTAAATGAGAAAATTTAAAATAAAATTTAGTATTTACCGCCGGTGGCGATACAACATCTCTTATTCTTTTTATCAAAATTTAGGGTTGGGCACAATTTTAGGAGTAGATGTAGAGGTCTAAATTTTAATTAGGTTAGGTTTGGGATTCTGAACATTTTTACTTAGTGAGTTAGCTAGTGGGTTAGCTAGTGGGTTTAAGATAACGTCACCCGCCATCGGCAATATTCTTTTACTGTAAAAATTAATTTTATATTTCATTTTACCTAAATAAAAGCACACTCCACTTAAGAACAGATCTTGGAGCTATACAACTCGGACTTTTAAATTTTGATAGAAACAACCCTGTGAAACAAATGTATAATTCATTATTTGCTATTATTGCGTAACGAAATTTAAGTAATAGATATTTCACGGGCTGTTGTGAATATCATAGATTAACACGGCAGAGCCATGGTAATACATTGTGCTTATGACACACCGTGAAATATCTTTTATATCCACGGTTCCCATGCCCGTAATATTTCTGACTAAAATTTTTACTGATTACGTAATTTTTGATATTTTCACGGCATTACGTAATCATCAGGAATGTTCACGGGAATATTAGGGGCCGTGGGATATATTGCATACAAAAACGACCCAATTTTTTTTAAAAAATTAATTTAGATTGAGAACTATACTAAGGCATTAGCCCTTATATATCACATTAATTTAAAGATTTCATGTGCAATAGTTACCAAACAAAATTGAAGTACAAACCACTAATTACAAGCCCAATAAAAGAGACAACAATGGAATAAATTGAAGAGCCATCAACTCTAATAAAATCAAATTCTTGAGATACTTAAAAAAAAATAAAATCATGTATTTCACAAGCTAGTACCAATACTTACGTAGAACGATCTATTATAATACTAATCCATGTAATGTCTTCAGAATACAATTAATGGAGTAATTTTTATTTTATATATCGAATTGCTTTATAATTGTGCATTATGTAATGTTCAAATTCATACCATTTACGAAGCACAAAAAATTCAAAAAGAAAATAATAAGTATAAACAACGAGTCACAAAGATCAAAAGATTCTTTAGAAACCATTTTTCAAGATCATTTACGCTAAGTAATGTCCTTAAAATAGCTAGGTATTGAAAATTATTGAAAATTTCTAGCATCAAGGATCTTAAACCGGAACTATTGAACCAAACCAGTTCAAGCCAGCCTCAGATTATTGTCATCCTTTAAGTAGATGAGAATGATCTGGTTTATCGTACAGGTTTGGACTGGACGGCTCTAGCAGCCGCAAAATCGGTTAGCAAACTAGTTCTACGCCTGCTCATGCGCTGGGGGTTTTTTTTCGATCCGGGGGTTACTTTGTTAATCGTTTAGGCAGCAGTAATTTGGTTAAGAGATTCCGTTACGTTACAAACAAAATTCTTTACTTACTATTCCAATAAATACTAGGCTAATGCGTAGCATTATGTGTCCGGAGCCCATCATATGGGTGCCGCCAAGTGAAAACCAGGAATTCTAAAAATAGATTTCTTTTAGACAACGGAATACGGACTTTGAATGATACTAATATATGATCAAAAAAACAGTATAATTTATTATTCTAGTCAGATCGGTTAAAAGCCCGCATTCCGTTATGTAAAGAAGTTTATTTTTAGAATTCCTGGTTTTTACTTGGCAGCACCCATATGATGTTCACCATATTAAGAAGTAAAAGCATTTTTTAAAGCAAGGCTATGAAATAAGAAAAAGATAAGATAATAGTAAAAAAAAAAGAAAAAAGAAGTATAAATTAAGTAAAGTAGGTTATCATGGAGAAGCCAAAGAGGTACTAAGTTAAAGTGTGGTAAGATAATGGTAGGTTATAGGCAAAGATAGAAGATAAAATCTATGATAGAAAAAAATATGAAATGATTATTGGGTTCATACACATACTAAGTTAGAATAAAAAAAAATAAGGTCAATTGCGTATCTTGAATACTTTGACCAATATAACTTTTAAACATACAAATCTAGAATTGAGCTATAAAGATTTTTATTATGAGCTATTGTAAAAATACTGTTATATAGTATGTAATTAAGGTTGAGTTAGCATTGTATTAAAATTTATATCATGAGTTACTGTATAGAACATATCTTCTATTCTGGTTGACACAGCATGTAAATTAATTCGAAATGGTTTTTTGTAAAGTTGAGTTAGTTGGCATTAAATTACCGTGATCACTATCATAAAAATTCTGGTAAAAAATTTACTCATTCCGGTAACATATGTGGGTAAGGTTGAGTTAGTAAATTGAAATTGCATAATTTCTACTGAATTACTGTAGCAAAATCTGCTATTTTGGTGATGCATAGTGTATAGTTAAGGTTGAGTTAGTTTGTATTAGAATTGTAATTTTTATTAAGCGTTATAGAACTTACTATATTGATAGCAGCTATATATATTTTTGTAATTTCTACTACCGTATAAGCTGATGTAAAAAATTGTTATGGATCTTTCTCACTATCTCAGAGATCATAGTATGTATTTAAAGTTGAGTTGATTTTACTGTAAAAAATTTCAATACAAAACCTATTTGATATTCCAGTATATAGTATGCAGTTAAGGTTAAGTTATTGCTGTAAAGCAGCTTGTTACAAAACACTTGCTATTTCAGTAATTACAGTATGTAGTTAAGTTTGCATTGAATTATCATGAATAACTGTAAAAAATTCTATTAAAAACTTACTTACTATTCTACAGAACTTGCTTACTAATAAAATACAGTAGTTAAAGTTTATTTCTATTACAAACAATAATTGTTATTTCAGTAACACATTGTAGTAGGGTTGAACTACTGTGAAAATTCTGTTACTAGTTATTGTAAAAATTATGCTACTATAACAGATTAATTTTATTTTATTTTTTTACTTTATTAGTTATTTTTTATTTTATTTATATATATATTTAATATTTAAACTAAATCTTGCACTTATCTTTAATAAAAACTTTTTATCTAATTGAAAAAAGTTTTATATTTTAAGCCTAGCACTAAGAATAAGAACTCAGATTTATAACTAAAAGAATCAAGTATCTAAATAGACTAGTAACTTATCTGTAATCTAAACCCAGCAGAGTAGCCAAAGCTTATATAGATTTTGAATAGATTGAAAATATGTGAAGGGTGTATATAATATTTAATTCAGTTAGAATACAAGAATAATACTTTTAAAGAGAGTAGTGTTAGAGGTATTAGAGTATAAAGTAAGAATTCAGATGGTTGTATATCAGAATCCTAATATAGTTGTCCCTCTATACAGTCATCTCCTATATAATCACTTAATTTTAAATAACAATTATTTTATCCTTTTATATAATCACAAAAGGCTTATAATCACTATCACATTTTTTTAGAATTTGTTGAACGATCTTAATAATAAAATCACTTATTATTATAAAATTTTTGCTATTTTTACTTAAACTTTAACAATATATATCTCGATAACTAGTAATCCAAATCAGCTCAATTTTTATTATATATAATTAACATATTATTTTATTGATTTTAGCCAATTTGGTTTAGTAGTTCTCAAGTAATTGCTTATATATGATAGTCAATTTTTTTAAAAAAATTAACTATCGTATACAAATGATTACTTGAGAACTACCAGACCAAATTGGCTAAAATAATTATATATAATAGAATAATAACTTATATATATATTATAAAAATTTGAGCTGAATTGGATTACTAGTTATCAAGATATCCATCATCAATATTTGAATAAAAATAGTGATTTTTTTAATCAATTATTATAAAATTTTTACTATTTTTACTCAAACTTTAACAATATATATCTTGATAACTAGTAATCCAAAACAGCTCAAATTTTTATCATAGATAATAATTATATTCACTTATAATATATAAAACTTTTAGCTGATTTTGTTTGGTAGTTCTTAAGTAATCGCTTGTATACAATAGTTTTTTTTGTAAAAAAATTAACTATTGTATACAAATGATTACTTGAAAACTACCAAACAAAATCAGCTGAAATTTTTATATATCATATGAAAATATCGTTACTATCTATAATAAAAATTTAAGCTAATTTAGATTACTATTTATCGAGATATCTATCATCAAATTTTGAGTAAAAATAGTGAATTTTTTAATAAAGTTTTGTTATTTTTACTCAAATTTAAAAATATTTATCTCGATAACTAGTAATCTAAATCAGCTCAAATTTTATTATATATAGTAACAATATTATTATATAATATATAAAAATTTCAGTTGATTTGGTTTGGTAGTTTTCAAGTAACCACTTGTATATAATAGTTAATTTTTTTAAAAAAATTAACTATCATATACAAGTGATTTTTTGAAACTTATTAGACCAAATTAGCTGAAATTTTTATATACCATATAAGAATATAATTACTATCGACAATGTAAATTTGAGCCAATTTTGATTACTAGTTATTGAGATATCTATTGTCAAAGTTCGAGTAAAAATAGCAAAATTTGTTATTTATTATATAATTTATAATTACTTTTTTATAATTACATATATCTATAATTTTATATAATGTAATTATATAGAAGTACTTTTATATAGTCACACCTTTATACTATTACCAGATAGATATGTGCCCAACTGTGTAATTATAGAGAAGAATGACTGTACACAGAATCCCAATACACAAAATCCTGGCAACAAAATCTCAATACTCAAAATCCCAACAAATTTAAATTCTAACTTTAATATATTTAAGATTTTAATTTGTCAGGTATATTGGGATTTTGTTGCCAGAATTTTGTATATCGGGATTTTGTAT